ATTCATGAAGGTTTCTATCTATAGCTTTAAGAGTGGGATACTTATTCCAATTCTTAATTCTCTAGATAAATGTTAGTAACAATAATTTCTAATAGGATAACCAACAACCTCGTGAGATTTTAACATGTTGATCTTCTAACCCACGGTTTTAAATAGGCTAACCATGGACCAATGGTAAGTTCATCAATATTGATGATCTTCAACCAATAAAAAAACAAGGCTAACCAAGAGCCAAGGGAATTTCATCAACATTGATGATCTTCAACCTAAATAAACATAGAACTGATCACACAATCCCCAACCAAAGTTCTTAACGGGTTTAGCTTCTGAAACACATATAAAAAATCCCTAATTGAATAATATTCAATTAAAGGTTTATAGTATGAATACCTTTGTGAATTTAAAAATTTCTACCCTTCCAGAGTTACAAGAACAACTCACTCACGAAAGATATTTCCTCACAAAAGAATTTGACTATAAGAACTAGTGAGAGAAAGTGAAAAACTTAGAGAGAGAGAGAGAGAGAGAGAGAGAGAGAGAGAGAGAGAGAGAGAGAGAGAGAGAGAGAGAGAGAGAGAGAGAGAGAGAGAGAGAGAGAGAGAGAGAGAGAGAGAGAGAGAGAGAGAGAGAGAGAGAGAGAGAGAGAGAGAGAGAGAGAGAGAGAGAGAGAGAGAGAGAGAGAGAGAGAGAGAGAGAGAGAGAGAGAGAGAGAGAGAGAGAGTGTTAATACACAAATCGAATTTTGGATGAAATGAAATAAGGAATGATACCTCTATTTATAGGCTTGAGATTCCCAAAAGAGGAAATAATATTAAAGCAAATATCGCCGTTACTAATCGATTAATCCAATCGAATAACTCTTTTAAATATAACGCTTATGAGTTATAAAATAGGAAAGAAGTGATATATAGTCGTTGTATACGATCTGAGTGCATTTAAATTGTCTTATTCCTCAAAAGTGTGCTAATCTAATCGATTGTCATTATGCTCTAATCGATTAGATACAGTCAAAAACTATTTTCTAGCTTTTTGAATGCTCCCATCCTTTTCTATGCAACTTCTATATACTTCTTAAGGCTTTAGAGAATCGTGGTGGAATTATTACCATCTGACTAATGAGAGACAATAATATTATACACGTCATCAGTCCCAAGGAAAAATTCCATATTTTGTGAAGATGTTACCCATGCGACATCATTTTTAGGCAAGGACATCAGAGTCACTCTTGTTTGAGACTCTCTCAAATATAACACTATAGAGGTGTTTTACGAGGGTGAAGTTATCCAAGAATATTAAAGGTGTGAATTTTAAGAATGTGAAGGCTAGAGTTAGATTTCTACAGAAACTGCAAAAAAAATAGAAAAAAAGTTTGTAAAAACAATAGAAGGCTTAAAATAGTATTAGTTGTGGTTGGGTGCTCAGGCCTAGAGAACTATAAACTCTCTTATAAGCATTTTACCAAATATTTGGTGACTAAAATTTTATACGGAAAAACTTCCAATATCGTTGATATTGGGATTGGAGTAAGCCACTAGGAAGGATGATTCCATTGAACCAATATAATGTTGTTGGTTTTGATCCTTTAATATCTACTCCTTTTATTTGAACATGGATCATCATATTTCTCCTCTTCGTAAATATTTATTTGATTATGTGTTGGTTATTAGACAAATTAAAAAAAAAAAATTTAATGTTACTTTATCTTCATTCTAGTTAGAAAATTCTTGGAAACACTAGTTCATATTCTAAGACCCCTTTGTAATAATTGTTAATCTAATATAAAACGTCAACAAATGTCATGGTTTGGACAATTCTTTCTTAAAATATATTATATAGAATAACGCTTGACCAAATATTATGAAATTCAATTATTTGAATAGTATTTTCTTAATAAAATATCATCTAAAAGTATTAATACAATACTTATTTGAATTTGCATTAGGATAACACTCGCTACAAAATATGGTATTTTAAAATTTAAATTGTCGAAGAATGTACCTTCTCAATACTCTCTATCTTGAAATCTAAAATATCTCATTTCCTATTCGTTATCTCTCACTTGTAAACATTATTTTTTTTGTTAAATTATGATTTCATTAGTGTTGTCGAATCCCACTTACTAGGTGTGTGTTATGTCCTCCTTTTATAATTTTTCTAGTTTATTTTTCTCACAACAAATTCTTAATGGAGGGTTATATACTATTATAGAAAATCTTTTTTACAACAGTTAGAAAAAAATAGTAATATAATGCTGGTCATATTATTGTTAAGTAGGGTGTGGTTGTAAATTTGTTGTTTCTATCACGGTCTGGAAACCATTATTGAAAGGTAGGACGCGCGCCACTTATCACAGAGATATACTTATAAACGGTTGTGATACTTACACATAGGTACTAAGTTCGAAACTTATCAACAGCAAATTATGTAAATCATAAATGACTTTTGATCACGGTTACAATATATAACCGCTGTGAAAAGTCCCCAAAGTTTATTATATAATATATATATTACTTGTTTTTCATACACCTCACTAAAAAAATACAAGTTTTCAAATTGATGAAGAAGTCTATAATCTAAAAATTAAGCTACTCTTAAAAACCAACTTAAACAAACCATTATTTTTTCGGATTGTATGCGTCTCATCGTGCATTTCATACTCTTTTTACATATATATTATAGTTTATTGGTCTAACTCCTACGATACATCGTTATCTTCGATTATAGTTAAATTTCCATAACAACAAGATATTGGATAATCTATCTCATCATCATCATTCATCATCATAATTTTTATAATTGTAATTTTTACGATCATTAGTGCTGATGATGAGGCAAATTATCTAATAAATTGTAGTTAATGAAGTTTAACTATAATAGAAGACAACAATGCATTTGAGGAGTCATGTCATTATACCATAATCTATATGTAAAAAACATGAAATAAACGATGAGACGCGTGCAATTCGGAAATAATGATTGATATAAATTGGTTTTCAAATATAATTTAATTTTCAGATTATGGTATATATGTCCATTTAAATGAATGTATTTTAAGTGAGAGTTAGTGAATCAAACAATCTGCATAGAATATAATAAACTCAAACAACATCATACAACATAACCAGATATTATAAATTTGTGAGCAATGAAAAAGATATATTATAAATTTCCAGGTCGTATCTTTTATTCAAACTAATCGTGGAACATGAATCAATTCTGAGGTTCATCTAGTTTGTGAAGCAATGAAAAAGAAAAAGAAATATAAGGAGGAAGAAGCTTACACAAAAGCTTCATACTTCTTATATTTCTTTTCATTGTATTTCAAACCAGATGAAGTTTGCTGCCGCTGTTGTTTCTTCGTTAACTAAAATGTGTTGTTCTTGTCGAGTCCTACAATAACCATGAAAGTTATAAACATGTGAAAACGCAAACTTATTTGTCAATAAAATATGAAAGACATCTTGTTTGTGAAGCTATGAAGGAGAAGTACAAGGTGCATGAAGTTTTCATCATAGCTTTATGTTTCTTGTACTTTTTTCCATAGCTACACAAACAATATATACCATAGCCAAAGTATGGTCTTTGTTAAGCTGTTAGTGAAGACGAATCTGAAAAAACGAGAACAATTAATCAACAAACACAACATGCAACAAATGAGATAATGGGAGAACTATCTAACAATAAGATGTAAGAAGAATAATATCTTAACGTATGAAGCACAAGATTCACGGCTAATGGCAAAGAAGAAGAGAAAAAATAAGTGCTAGGGTTTCACTGTGAACGAAACGACGCTACTGTCAATAAGTGAGAATCAATTTGCTTATATATGGATAACTTATTTCACAACGATTCTCTACCAACCGGTTCTCTACCAACCGTATCGATAAATATTTATTTATTATAAATATATCACAACGGTGAAACGTACCAACCGTAATCACATCCCTTTAAATTTTTTTATATAAAATAAATAAAAAAGAAAAGACGCGCCTTAATATTAAAGGAATAATATATATAATGGCGGTGAAGTTCAAACCCATGAAAACTTGATGGTTTTATTACTGTTGGTTTTTCAACCGTTGCTATATACAAATTTATAAATAAATAAAAAGACGTGCCTTATTTTAGAGATATCATTACGATATAGTAAAGAACTATAGTGACCAAAACGTTATTATTTACGCGTTTTATAGTAGTGATATCATTCCCTTCTCCATAATAAATTACCCTTCTTGTTTTCTAAAATACTTATTGCATATAGTAAGATCAAAATCACAATTGGTAATCTACATAAGCACTAGTAAAATTTATCTACATAAGCAATAAGGCATTCAAAGTGTTTTGTTTCACATTAAAATTTAGTGTTATGGGCATTAAAATTTAGTGCCCATCTCATTTTTTTGATTGTACTATATCATCAATGCACAAAACCTTAAAAAGGGCTTAGTTTCATCACAATTCCACACACCCGTTAGTTTATTTATAGACACAAAAAAATTGGCCATCCTCCATATGTTCAAAAGTGAATCTTACTCTTATGGACTTATTTTTACCTGCTAGAACACACACATTAATAGAAATGTTATTACTCTTTCTTATTTCTCAATATATCCATATAGTGATATAATGACATGATCTACACATCCATATTCATAATCGATACAAACCTTATATTTCACTAACACACTAGTGATTTGTTAAATAAATATCTAACCAAATTTTACATTAGTTATCGGCCACATAGCTGAGAATAATACAACTAAAAAATTAATACAATCAATAATCAGATCCACAAAGAAAATACTTTTATAAAAAAGAACATAACATTTGATAATCCAAAATATTATATACGTATTATGATTCAATTTTGACAACAAATCCAAAATTCCATTAAATATTCTAAATGCATATTTCACCATCAATAATAGTTTTGCATTTTTCTTCTATACCTAATCAATAACCAAATTGAAGTGTCTAGATCAGGTAAAGATCTCTTGTTTTCATCTATCTTTCTCTACAACTTTGTTGAAAGAGCCTTCAGCACAGGATTGAGTATTAGAGTTATAGCAACCAAAATTTAAAATATTTCTCTTCCCTCCTCTTCCCTTTCCTTTATGCATAACATTCCTAAACCCCCCTCGCCCTTTTCTCTCTTTCTTCTCAGCTTCTTGCTAAAAAACATATATAACAACATATTTTAATCAATTGGCTACTATTTCAACAATAACTCTACATTAAATTACTTTACTTAATAACTCATTATAAACATTAAATTTCACGAATTTAACCGTGAAATTTAAAATTCTTATCGAGTAGGTCATGTCATGTGTATAAATTTTTAAAAAATTTCAAAATGATTTTATCTATATATAATATGTTTTTTTTTTGACAAAATATATAATATATTTACACATGATCAACTCGATAATAACTTTGAATTTAATGATTGGATTCATTATAATAAATTATCAAGTGTTGTAAACCAAAAAGACTGGAAAAGGAACACATGATCATACCTTTTTGGAATGACCATTTACAGGTTTTGTTGAATCTTCATCACCTAGAAAAGAATCATATCAATCCATTGAAAAACTTATACAAATCAAGAGTATTTAATTAACAAATTATTGCCAACAAGATTTTGGAATCATAACTTAAACAAATTAACATGATTAACCATGAGGGAAAATATAATTTAAAAAACACAAGATATGAGTCACATTACTCACTACTATTCTTTGTGCTTTCTCCAGATTGAGGATAATCATTAGAATCTCCCATAGAACATCTATCCCCTAAATCATTATCATTACAATATTCCCTAAAACTTGGTGATCCAGGTCCAATAAACCAATCATCCTTCTTCTTCTTATTATTATTACTACTATTATTATTATTATCCTCTTCATGATTTGTACCAACATTGTTTTTATTATTGCTAGCATTATCCTCCTTTAATTTTCCTTGTCTCTCTGGATTAATAAACACTTTCCTTTCATTCATTTCCTCTTGATCTCTTCTATCTTCGTTAATTTTTTTGTCTTTCAATCTATCACCATTGAACCCTTCATCCCTCCTTACTGATTCTTGATTTTCACCATCATCATTAATAGGTTCATAAGTATACATGTTGTCATTGCTTTTCACAATGGGTGAAGCAACGATATTTTGATGACGAAATCGACCCTTGAAATAATGTCGGCCCGGAGATGTATCATTTCCATGCATGGTTGAGATGCCACAACCCATGATGTACAAAATAAATACAGGGAATCAAGAAGAAATAAAATGAAGAGGGTAAAGAGAATTATTGAATAATTGAGGTAACAACAATAAGGGTTGTGAATATGACATAATACCAATATTTAAACACAAAAATAGAAAGAAGAAACCAAATAACAATATGATTTTGTTAATTAGGTCGTTGAGAGTCGAAATGTTGGGTTTGTAATGCAATGTGTGAGCTTGATGTTTGTTTTGTTGTGTAATTATCAACTAATTATCATGGGAATTTCTCATAATCATCATCAATCTTGTTCATAGGATGGGTATAACAAAACGAAAAAAATGACAAAATAAGAAAACAAACAATTGTGAACTACAAACAAACATTTATGTTTTTTTTTTTTGAAAAAAAAAAAAACTAGAAACAGAAGAGACCACTAGTTTGATGTGCCGTTCACAATTTATTTCAAACAGAAGATAACATGATTGTGGTAACACTTTTATATATACATTGTAAATTAAAAATATAAAAACAAAAAAACTTGATTAGGTAAGAAGAGAATAACATAGATAAAGGACAAATCTAGATATATGGATATTTCGTTCACTTTAATTTTATCATATTTGAAGGTATTTTGCCATTTAAAACAATTAATTATATATGTGATGGATGTGAGTTTTCTCAAAAATTCATTCTTTTAATTTTTAGGAAAGTTGAATTAGTGTTAATTTTAATTTAAATGTTATTATTTTATATAAGCCTCGTATATTAGAAAAAAATAAAAGAGAACAAAGAGAGGGGTGTTAGATGAGAGAATTAAACCTCCATTGATGAACATGGTTATGCATGGAAGAAAGATGAATATATATTGAGAAGATCAAGCTTTACTTGATATATATGATATTTTTCATTACTTGATTAGTAATAGCTTTGCATATTTATTCAAGAGATGAAGTTAGTTACACTCTAACTAACTTTATGAATAGTCTAATTACCTTAACATGATCCATGACTACCATATTATACACCTTTACTCATTTTCTATTTTACATTCTAATATTCCCCCTGAAACTCACGAGGGTTTGGTACATACAATCTCGAGTTTGTCTTGAAAGCTGTCAAAGATAATGTATGAGAGAGGCTTGGTGAAGATGTCTTTAAGTTGGGCTTGAGATGAAACATGTTAAATCTATAACTCGCCTTTCATAACCTGTTCACAGATAAAGTGTATATCAAGTTCAATGTGTTTCGTACGTGCATGTAGTATTGGATTATGAGACAACATAACAACACGCATGTTGTCTCACAAGAGAGTGGGTGAAAGATATCGAATTGTCAGCTCATGAAGTAACGATTCAATCTATACAAATTCATATGTGGCGTGAGCTAGCGCGTAATATTCCGCTTCTGCACTCGATCTTGCTACGAGAGACTGCTTCTTGGAGCTCTATGCAACAAGATTGAGATCAAAAAAGGCACATGACCCTGATGTAGATCTTCGGTCATCAAAGTTACTAGCCCAACCAGAATTGCTGTAAGTACGTAGGGAGAACTACTAAATGTTGGTAGCAGTGTGCAAAATGAGGCCATGATGACAAGTGCCACTTAAGTATTGTAGAATGCGTTTAACTACACTCCTAACTCGGGGAAACTCACCGGAAGATCTTACTGACAAGGGGAAAATCATTCTAATAATTGGTCAACCCGGATCACACCTCCAGACCGTAATTAATCAGGGGTATATCTTTCAAGATTCAAATGTTGGGGTATTCCATAATCAAGGTTATATCGTATCATGGTGGGATCCAAATTCCCTTTTCAAGCAACTTCTCTAGACCCTAATTAATTAGGGGCATACCTTTCAAGATCCAGATACTTGGGGCAAATCATATCAAGTTCATATCACAGAATGGTGGGACCCAAGTTCCTTTTTAGACCACTCTTACAAACCCTAATAATCCGGGACAACCTTTCAAAATTCAAATGTTGGGAAACTCCATATCGTTCATATGACAACATTGCAAGATCTAAGTTCCTTCTCAGGGCACTTCTTCAAACCCTAAAGATTATGGCATACCTTTCAAGATTCAAATATTGGAACAGACCGTTGCAAGGCTCGATAAAAAGAAACTGATTTTAAAAAATGGTTTAGCAAGGGCATATAATTCCAAAAGTCGACTATTCAAGGACAATCTCTTTGAGTTTCATCCCAAGGCAGACCACCTTAAGAACACAATGCACCAATCATTCCAGGAGTCAGTTAATCAAAGGCATAATGCTTCAAAGTTCAAAATAGCGGGGTCAGCCATCTCAAGTGCATACTATGGCCAAACTACTTCTAAACTCATATCGAGGCGAATCTCTACAAAGACTTAACAAATTGGGGCAAGACAGACCATATAGGGACAAGCTCTCTTCATACTTTCAAAATGCTTGAGCAAGCCCTTTCCTACATTAACAATCTTTGAGATCGAAACGAGTGTTAGGGAATCATGCTAGCACAACACCGTACCACCTTTTGACAAGCAACCTTGTTACATAAACAACCTTTCTAAGCCTTAATCGTCCAGGACAATATCTTACTTTCCTATGGAACTTCGTCAACCCATTGGTTGAGGATGATATTTTTGTTTGTCGATCTTCATCCACTCATTAGTTGAAGATAATTTTCTGTTGACCCATTGGTCGAAGTCAATCAACCCATTCGTTGAAAACCATTTTTGTTGACCCATTGGTCAAAGTTAATCAACCCATTGGTTGAAGATAATTTTGTGTTGACACATTGGTCGAATTCAATCAACCCATTGCTTGAAGACCATTTTTCTTGACCCATTGGTCAAAGTCAATCAACCCATTGGTTGAAGATAATTGTCCGTTGGCCCATTGGTCAAAGTTAGTTAACCCATTGGTTGAAAATAGTTTCTTGTTGATCCATTATTCAAAGTTAGTCAACCCATTGGTTAAAAACATTTTCTTGTTGACCCATTGGTCAAAGTTAGTCAACACATTGGTTGAAAATAGTTTTTGTTGACCCATTGTTTGAAGTCAATCAACCCATCGATTGAAGACATTTTTTCATTGATCCATTGGTTGAAGATAATATTTCATTGACCCATTGATCAAGGTTAGCCAACCCATTGGTTGAAAATAGTTTCTTGTTGACCCATTGGTTAAAGTTAGTCAACCCATTGGTTGAAAATAGCTTCTTGTTGACCCATTGGTCAAATTCAGTCAACACATTGGTTGAAAACAACTTCTTGTTGACACATTGGTCGAAATTAGTCAACCCATTGGTTAAAGATAACCTTTCATGCATCCATCCATGATTCAAAATATAAGCAGCCTTACATGATTTTCAACCATTCAAGACGTGAGCAGCCTAACACACCTCTTCCACAATTCACTCGTAAGCAGCCTTACGAAGCATGAAAAACCTCATGCACCCATCCATGACTCAAAACATAAGCAGCCTTACATGATTTTCAACCATTTAAGAAGTGATCACCCTCACGCACCTCTTTCATAATTCATTCATAAGCAACCTTACAAAGCATGACCAACCTCATGCACCTATCCATGATTCAAAATGTAAGCAGCCTTACATGATTTTCAATAATTCAATATGTGAGCAACCTCACACACCTCTTCCATAATTCATTCACAAGAAACCTATGATGCATGAGCAACCTCATGCACCCATCCATGATTCAATATGTAAGCAACCTTATGTGATTTTCAACCATTCAAGACATGAGGGGCCTCACACACCTTTTCCACAATTCATTCATAAGCAGCCTTACGAAGCATGAGCAACCTCATGCACATATCCATGATTCAAAATGTAAGCATCCTTACGTGATTTTCAAAATTCAAGACATGAGAAACCTCACACACCTCTTCCCATCAAACATTCTGTTGTACCCCAAAATTTTCCCTCTCATTTCTCAAGACATTTCTCACAAGGATTCTCAAAATTCAAGCTTGTACAAGTGCAATTGGATTTTCCAGCATCAAGTTAAAGAGGAAACTGTTAAAAAAAGGCAAAACAGATAAAAATAATCTTTTTGACAAAATTGGAGAAAAAGTAAGTTTTCTTCGACTCACATCCTTCGATTGCATCTTTGGCCTCACATGGTTCACAATGCAATGGCTACCTATATGCCTGCTTCGATTGGACGTTTGATGCCTGCATGCCTATGTTGATTAGACAAATAATTCCCTCCATGCTTGCTTTGATTCACAAAGTTGATGGCTAGCTGCATACAACTTTCTATTGAGCCACAACTCTCTTCTTGCACGCAAGAGGTGCGCACCAGGCCAGCAGGCACAAGGCAAAAAGCCTCCTGTAGCCTCCTTCGATTCCAAGGCAAAAAGCCTCCTCTTGGCATCCTTCGATTTCACAATTTGCCTCTTGCATGCCTCTTTCATCTGGGCATATTTGCTTCCTGCATGCCTATTTCGTTTGGGCATGTAACCCTCCTTTGATGCAATCCTAGAATGCCTCTTTCTTTTGTGCATGTGGCCCTCCTTTGATGCAAGCCTCACATGCCTCTTTCGTTTGGGCATGTGGCCCCCTTTGTTGCAAGCTTCGTTTAGGCATTTAAACCTCATGCATGCAGGCTTCGACAGGGAATTGGCCATGTGTTGTACCCCAAAACTTTCCCTCTCATTTATCAAGAAATCTCTCATAAAGATCTCCATTGATTCAAGACTACACAAAGTTTGATCAGCTCAAGACACCTCCTTAAGCACTGATGACTCAAATTAGGGTTTGAGTTTGCACAAGTACAAATGGACTTTTATTGCCCCATATGACTTTCATGGATCATTTTGGACCCTCAAGATTTCTCATGTCAAGTTTCAAGTCTTGGATCACATTTTTGCTCAGTCAATTGACCAGTTGACCTAAAATAAACTATATTAGGGAAAAAGTCAACTGTGGTCAATTTACAATCAAAATTCATGATTTTTGGTACATATCAACATTATGAACTCATATATGTCAATTGATCAAGTTTGGATC